GGTCTTGTGAGGAGCAAAGATTACGGGTTGGGTGGTATTTGGGTATCAGGTCGGTGACGTAGTTTGGGGCAGCGTTATGAATGGCTTTGTATGTCAGTGTTAGTAGTTTGAATTTGATGCATTGGGCAATCGGGAGCCAGTGGAGGGAATGACAGAGGGGGTGGGAAGAGGAGCGGTTGGTAAGGTGGATGAGTGTGGCCGCTGAGTTCAGGATAGACTGAAGCGGGGATAGTCTGTGATGAGGTAGGCCGGTGAGGAGGGGGTTGCAGTAGTCCAGACGTGAGATAATGAGGGAGTGAACGAGTTGTTTAGTAGTGTCTGGGGTTAGGAACGTACGTATTTTGGAGATGTTACGGAGGTGGAGCCTGCATGAGCTTGCTATCGATTGGACATGGGGTTGGAAGGACAGGTTTGAATCTAGAGTGACACCTAGGACTTTGGCTTGCGGGTTGGGACTGATGGTGGCGTTGTTGGTCCTGATGGAGGGGGGGGGGGTGCGCAGGCTGGGGGGAAAATTAGGAGCTCGGTTTTTGAAAGGTTCAGTTTGAGGAAGTGGAGCGACATCCAGTCTGATCTGTCGTTCAGCAGGTGGGGATATGGGCAGAGACTGAAGGGGTGAGTTGAGGGGTGGAGAGGTAAATTTGCGTGCATTGGCATGGAGGTGATAGTTGAAGCCGTGGGAGTGTATCAGTTTGCCAAGGGAGGAGGTGTAGATGGAGAAGAGAAGGGACACGAGGACAGAGCCTTGGGGGACCCCAACAGAGAGGGGGAGGTGGTAGCGTTATAGGTAACGCTGAAGGAGCTTTGGGAGAGATAGGAGGAGAGCAGGAGAGCGGAGTCTCTGATGCCGATGGAGTGTAGTTTATCGAGGAGGAGGGGGTGGTCAACTGTGTCGAAGGCCGCGGAGAGGTCGAGGAGTAAGAGGACTGAGTAGTGGCCATTAGCTTTGGCAGTTAGCAGGTCATTAGTGATTTTGAGTAGGGCGGTTTCGGTGGAGTGTAGGGGACGGAAGCCAGCCTGTAGTGGATCGAGGAGGTTGTTGTCAGTGGGGAGGGAGCTTAGGCGATTGTAGATTAAGCGCTCAAGGAGCTTGGAAGTGAATGGCAGCAGGGAGATGGGTCTAAGGTTGTTGAGGTCAGTGGGGTCCAAGGAGGGTTTTTTTGAGTATGGGGGTGATGTGCGCGTGCTTTAGGGGGGAGGGGAATGCGCCAGTAGAGAGGGAGAGATTAAAGATGTGGGTGAAGGAGCATAGGATGGAGGGGGAGGGTGCCCGGAGGAGTTGTGTGGGGACAGGGTCAAGGGGGCAAGTGGTGAGGCGGGCTTCTGAGAAGACCTTGGTGACTTCATCAGTGGTAGCAAGGCTGAAGGAGCGGAGTGTTGGGGGGGTTATGGTGTGCGGGATGTTAAGGGTGGTGGGGGGCAGGGAGGTTGCGAGGTCAGAGGAGGGGAGAGTTGGAGGGGTTGTAGTGGGAGGGAGGCTAGGTGGGGAGGTAGGTGGAGCATTGGCAATGTTCTTAGGGATTGCGTCGATCTTATTTTGCAAGTGAATGGCAATCTCGTGGGCGGTGAGTGAGGTACTGGGTGGGGGGGGGGGGGGGGGGGGGGGAGTAGGGAGTTGAAAGTGGAGAAGAGCCGACGAGTATTGGAGGAGAGGGTGTTGAAGAGGGTTACGAAGTAGGTTTGTTTGGCGGCGTGGAGGGAGGAGGTGTAGGTGAGGAAGGCGGATTTGTAGAGGGAGAATGCTTGAGGGGATTTGGTTTTGCGCCAGAATCGTTCCAGCGCAGGACTGCATCGTTTAAGATGTTTAGTGTGGTCGTTCTGCCAGGGTTGAAGCGGTCGGGGTCTAATGCTACGTGTGGTTAGGGGTGCTAAGGAGTCTAGGGCAGCTGATAGCTTGTTGTTTATATGCAGCATGGCCAGGTCAGGGCATGAAAGTGGAAGGATACTGTTGTACAGACAGTCAGCTGCAGAGTGGAGAGGGGCCGGATTCAGGTTGTGCAGATTACGTCTGGTGAAGGTTTGACGTTTGGGGGGGAGGTGTTGGAGGACGGGGAGATGGAGAAGGTAATGAGGTTGTGGTCAGAGAGAGGGAAAGGGGTGTTAGCTAGGTTGTGGGGGGTGCAGAAATGGGAGAAAACGAGGTCCAGGGTGTTCCCATCGGTGTGGGTGGAGGACTGCGTGCACTGTGTGAGTGCAAACGAAGAGGTTAAGTGGAGGAGTTGATGTACCCAGGTTGTTGACATTGAGAGGGATATTGAAGTCACCAAGGATGATGGTGGGGAACTCAGAGGAGAGGAAGAAGGGCAGCCAGGCTGAAAAGTCGTCAAAGAAGCGGGATACGGGTCCAGGGGGCCGATAGATTACTGCAATCCTCAGAGGGGTGGGGAGAAGAGAGTCGGATGCAGTGGGCCTCGAAGGAGGAGAAGGATAGAGAGGGGGGGTTTGGGAGGACTTGGAAGTTGCTCAGCGGTGAAAAGAGCATGCCACCACCTCTACGACCGCTCAGTCTGGGTGAATGGGACCAGACGAGACCTCCATAGGAGAGAGCCGCAGGGGAGGTGGAGTCAGTGGCTTGGATCCAGGTTTCCGTGACCGCTAGGAGGTTGAGGGAGTGGGAGATAAAGAGGCCATGGATGGCAGTGAGCTTGTTGCACACCGATCGGGCGTTCAGGAGTGCAACCGAGAGTGGAGGGGTGGGTGTGGGGAGGAGGGGGACAGGTATAAGGTTGAGGGGGTTGTGGCGGTTTGTGTGAGTAGGAGGGTGCCTAGTGGGTGAGTGAGGTGGTGAGGGACCAGGGTTTGGGGAGATGTCCCCGGCATTGAGAAGGAGGGTGGGAAAGGTGGCATGGGAGCAGGATGTGGAAGCGTGTGGGTCTGTTAGTGGCGTGGGTCTGTTAGGGAGGTGGTGAGAACCGTGTGAGTCGGTGGGGAGTAGTGAGAGTATTTTGTGAATGGGGAGGAGATTTTGTGAGGAGGAGAGTACAGGTGGCATATTAGGAGGGTGAGCGGAGTGCTGGTCAAATGAGGGAGGTGAAAAGTTTCACATCAGGGTGTATAGAGCCAGTGGAGAGGGCCAGGGGCCCTCAGGGTAGGATCACCTCAGAGCGTGTCAGAGGGCAGGGGCCGAGGGACGGAGCGGCGGCGTCACAATTCGGCCCGCGATATACGCGAGGTCGAGGTTCAGTGGCTGCAGTAGGCCGCGATTCCGGAGGGGGCCCAGATTGGTTCATACCCCTCCCTAATGGGTTCATTAGGGGCCGGAGGTGTTTCGGGGCCCCTGTAGTGTCCGCTGCTGCCTGGATGGCAGCTGATTAGGCAGTGGGGCGACGGAGCTCCTGGATGGTGTGTTGCTCAATCGCCTTCTTGACATATAGCGCTTGTTGCTCTGGGAGCGATGGTCTGTGTGGTAACAGCAACATTTGAGGCTTTTAGAGGATGAATTCCAAGGAGTAATGCTCTGCAGAGCTGAATATCCACTTCAAAACAACTTATAGACATCCACACTGAGGTTCAAACCGCCACTCAGAAGAAAAAACATAAGAGCTCATGGTGCAGTATGTAATAAAATATCTGCTTTAATAAAAAGAATGCACTTACATGAAATGGTTCCCAGACCGACACCCGTTTGAATCGTATGAACAAATAAAAGCAGACCCAGCCAGCCTACAAGCGGACCGGGAGCGTGCTGACGTCACATCCAAAGGCTCTATTAGATTGTACACCCCTTGAGGGTTAGGGACTGATGTGAATGTGTATATATATATATATATATATATATATATATATATATATAAAATCTGTGTAAATTGACAGTGCTATATAAGTATCTGAAATAAATAAATATTCAGCTCCTTGGAATTCATCCTCTAAAAGCCTCAAGTGTTGCTGTTACCACACAGACCATCGCTCCCAGAGCAACAAGCGCTATATGCTGGTTTATCACAAAATCAGCATATTGCTCTGGTGAGTTTTATTTAACCCTTTTTGGTGGTGGATTAACTTGGTGATATATATATATATATATATATATATATATATATATATATATATATATATATACTTTGGACACTATTGATTATTTTGAATTTCATCAACACTTTGGACTTTTTTGTTTATTGGACTTCACTTATAAATGTATTTGTTTGATTGATATTTATGTACATCTAAAGCGCAGCCTGTTTTTCGATAGTTTGCATATCCTATGTATACTATAGGTTAGGTTTGCAGCTCATTCTGTGTTCTATTATTTGTCCGTGGCGTTATTTCTATTTACCATATTAAACCTCATTTGCCACATAGTTGCCCAATTAAACGGTGAATTAAGGTCAGCTTGTAAATTGGAGACATCCTGTAAGGACGTTATTCCACTGCACAGCTTGGTGTCATCTGCAAACATTGAAATGGGATTTATAATCCCAGACCCTATATTGCTTATAAATATATTAAAAAGTAAGGGTCCCAACACTGAACCTTGGTGAACACCACTGAAGACCCTAGACCATTCAGAGTATGAATCATTAACCACTACTCTCTGAATACGATCTTTTAGCCAGTTTTCTATCCATTTACATACAGATTTTTCCAATAATCCTTATGGAGTAATTATTAACCTCTTCACGCCGGCCGTATGCATATGTGCAGCCTTTCGCCGGGTGGGCATGAACGAGGTCACATATATGCATACTAAAATGTAAACAATGCAGTGCGGGTAATGGAAAGCTTCTGATACTTGCGTTTTGGGATTTAATCGTGACCGCTGTGACACCCGATAATGATGGTGTCTTAAAGGGCTGGGAGGCGCTGCCAGAAAGGGGTTAATTGACTTTTCAGTATGATGGTATACTTAACTTCTTGTTAATAGATACTGACCTTTTTTTTTTTCCGCACAAGAATAAATTGTTTATGGCAGCTTGTGGAATACTAGCTAGCTCGCCTTTTTTTTGTTTGACCTGCTACAGCAAAGATCAGCAATACTGAGTTCTGTTTCTCTGGTTTTCCAGTTTCCCATCCAAAGAACAGTTATTCTGCTCGCTCCCGCTGTTGTTCCGTAGCAAGTCCCAGTGACACCCCTACTCCGTCCACTACTGAAATCTCTAATTCAAGCCTTACTTCATCCAATCGAAAGGCTACAGTCTCAGGAGACTTACCTGTGACAACAAGTCATTATGGCCCCAGACAGCCTCCAAGACAGGTAATTGCTTTATTTTCCTTTAGAAAAATTTTGATTAAAAATACCCATAAATTATATTGTATCTGTTTTATCATTGTGCTTTTGAAATGCTTACTTACATTCCCTTTTATTGTGTTCTTTAAGGGACCTCCAGCCAATAAAAGACCAGGGCAAGGTTATCGACCTCAGGGCCAACGACAAAACTACCATGCTAATAACCTGAGATACGATAACACCAACCGAAACCGAAACAACAATTGGTATAATTCCAACCCACGAAACCAGAGCTACCATCCTCAGGCACAGCGTCCACCTGGTGACCGGACATCCACCTATTCTTCTGGCACCAATGGACCTGCTGCCACCACCTCAGAGCCCGTCCAAACAGGGGTTTTAGACCCTGAAAACAAGGCCCTACCACAACGTAAACCGAGAGCGAACCCACCATCTGCTTCCTGAGTTGGAAAGAACTTCATGCCTTTAGTCCGCACTTTCAATGTTCAACTCCATAACTTGACTTTAGAAAACTGTTAGGTTTATTAACAAAGAGAAACGTTTACAGCCAGCTGTTCCGTGCCACTTTTTCCTCTTTATCCTGTCTTCTTTTTTTTTTTTTCCTGTTTAGCCTGCCTTTTTCAGCCTCTTTCTTTTCGATTTGTTATTGGACTGTTGCATTAGACTTCAAGCCATTGCTTCTAATTCTACATTGGGCTCTTCCAGGAGCTCGCTCATTGTGTTTGTATCCCTGTGTTTCTCACTCTATCGGTTGTTATTCATCTGTGAGAATGAACTGTTGCTGGCTGAAACAGAACATGTTGTCATAGTGACATGCCAACTCTTGCCACTGCTGTAATGACAACTTTGCAAAATTCAAGCTCATAGGCTCCCAGCAACTGCAGCTTCTGGAGTTGTTCAGTTCATGCTTGGTTATACAGAGAAGATTAGCCAGTGTCATGAAAGCAGCGGTTCTGTGGCCAATTTTGGAGCTATTTGACATTGTTTGGTTTCTACTTGTATTTCTTGTTAATCACTTTATCTTTTAAGTTACTCCCCAGCAAAACCCATTCCTCTGTCTGTATTTAAAGTGCCTTGTTTTTGTAATGGGGTCAGCAGATTCTTCTCATTCCCACCCTTTCATACATTCCCTGAATACTGTTTTGGGTTTTTTTTTTTTTTTTTTTCTTTGGAACTAGTAAGTCAGTCATTTTTTAATGATCCTGAAGCCATTCCATTATATTCTGAATGACTAAAAACAGATTGATAGCAGAGCTCTGGGACATGGTCAGAGATGCCACTGTTTTCCTTTAATATAGGGCCAGTGCAACTGTTTTTTTTTTTTCTTCAGTACCTAGAACCAACTTTTAGACTTTACTGCTCAGGATCAGTAACATTGTAAAATCTATTTGGAACCAATCTAGTCTTATTTCTTTCTCCCTCCTTTCTTCCTTGGTCCTTTCACACTTTTTTTTTTTTTTTTTTTTTAATAAAATTGCACTGTCCTATTGATGTGGCTGAGTAATAGACAGCAGGCTGCATGCTGTTTGTTCCCCTATGATTCTGTGAATTCATCATGGCAGTGCCCTCTTCCTTATCGTTTCTCTTGTCCAAAGATGCACCTTTCACCAATATTCATGTGTCTTGTTTTTCTTTTGTTCATTGCAAAGTTAGGATTGGTTTAGTTTTAGTAATATGATAAATCACCTCTATTCTAAGGGCTAGTGTTGATACTTTTATAGTACAACACATAACTACTATGTGATATTAAATGCATTACATGTATCCAGTGCAGATGTTATGCAACAAAACTAAGGGAGAGGCCTGTATCAGACATTGTGAAGTGGTTCTGATCATGGAGTTCAGAACCTGTACATCTTTTGGCGGTTTCCCTTCTCTGGCTATTAGCCATTGCTGCAGTTGTATACACCATTCCTTAGACAATAAAGGGAAAAATATTTTTTTCCATGAAGACAACCCTGTGGCTCCAACATGTACTTCACAGTAGCTCCATGCATTGACATAGCCTGACATTTTCTAGCTCAAGGGATATCGACATAGTTCAGTTATAAAAAAAGGAGCATTTTAATTAGCTAAGATGATAGAGCAATGAGCTGTGCAGAAATGAACAATGTTGAGGTGTTGCATGGATTAGTCAGTTAACGTGCAACCTTGGAGTCAATCAAATGGTATAAAAATGGGCCACATGTGTTTATTCCAGACTGTCATTAGCGGTGGCACTCTGCCCCGTTATTTGCGTCATCTTTGGCATGCAGTGATCTTGATGTGACCACACTTTGGTCCTTTGCATGTGACATGTCAGTGATTTCCTCCATTGGTAGGCTGAGGGTTTCAGAGATTCAAAAGTGGTACGATAAAATTGTGTGTTGATTGGAGAACAAAGTATAAATATCTCAAACACAGCTTGCCACTCCGATTTTTTTTTTTTTAATTTTATTTTGTTTGACATTCACAGTGCTATTAAATATCCCGTTACCCAGAGCCTTCATCAAGACATGCATATTCTTTCCTGGCCATGTGTGTCTGTTATACTGTGCATGCACTACACAAGTACTGCAGTCCATCTACTTGTAAGATAAAATATGCCTTAGTGAAGCCTCTATAAGGACACAAGTGACTGCATTACTAGGTTTGTAAACTGTTGCTCCAAATATACTATTTTGTTCTCATTATTTTAGTATGTTTCTTTGTCTTATGTCCTTCTTGTAGATTTATTCTTCACCAAAGAGAATCAGGTGGTCTGTTGCTTCTTTATCATGAAGGTTGTGGTTTAGCCACAAGACCATACAGTAGGTGACGTTACTGTTATGGTATGTATTCCATATAATTCCTTTGTGAACCACAAACAAGTATTCTAAAATCAGGAGGTGTAATTACAAAGATATCTTCCCCTGTAATTACTGTAGTTAACACAGCACTGGTCATTTCAGTCCACAGCTCTGTTTTCTTGTATGTAGGGACACAAAGCCCTTACTTTTAGAATAGGCCACTAGAAGCAGAATACAATTGGTGGGAAAAAACAGAACCTGAAAGGAAGTGTGGACTAGGAACTGAACAGGACAGGAGGTGCCAAGATTTGCCTGCCAAATGAACTAGTAATCGAGATCATATAAAAAGGCTTTGCAGGGAAGCGTAAAAATTATGTTTAAAACTATGTCCCATGAACAACATGTAGAGAGAGTTTTAAACACTCACAATATTCTTTCTTAGTTGTTTGTTACATACTGTCTGAAATAACTATTGTAGTCCAGGGTAATCTTAAAGCGGTTATTAAGGCTCATGGTTAAAAGGTTTTTTTTTCCTTAAAATAACAAACATGTTCTACTTTCCTGCTCTGTGCAGTGGTACCTCCTCTTCTTGGGGTCCCCCGCTGGTGTTCTTACTCCTCTTTTCTACCCCCTGCTCTCTTTGATTGACAACAGCAGGAACCATTGCCACTCCATGAATGCACAGGGAGAGCTGCTACAATTGGGCACAGTGCTGAATTAAAGGGGGGGCACATGAAGGTAAAAAAATGTTATGACTTTAAAACTACTTTAAAGTAGTGTGTTTAAGATTGTGGATTATAGCCAGATTAGTGCTGACCGATCTAGCCAGCATGATGTTTATTGGCATTTTAAATGCTTATAAAGATGCAGAATTCTAATGTTATAGAAAAGGGTGTGAAAAGACATGGGTTGATTTTTACCCAGTATAGTCAGTGGAATATGGAACAACTGCTCATGTCTATTAATGCCCTTACATACTCTGATTTTTGTTTAGTGCTACAGTCTGGCAAGGATTGAGGCATTATTACTTTAATAGGAAGCAATTACAAATGATTTGAGTATGAGAGGCTCCAATCACCACACATGATTCCAGCATATTGAAAAAAATCTCTGTATAGGTGGTTGCTAGTCATTCTCTTTTCTCTCTAGATATAAATATGCACGTTGAGGGAAGAACTTGCATGGTCAGATCAGTCCAACCTTTCTCTAATGTTTGACAAATGTTAAAGCCATTATAAGATGTATAGTTCATATTAGTAATTTTTGAACTGTCCATTTTATAGTAAGTTTTTATTGTTGCAAGAATAGCAGTAATATGACCTAGAACTGTAAACCATAAATCAGATTATAGAGTGATATATAAGCAAAAGGAACTATTTAAACTGAACTTGCAATTCTACCGAGAAATCACAGGCAGTGGTGTTTAATGATACACAGTAATCAGTGTGATATTAGTCTTCACTAGTTATGAACATGACATCTTTTTCATTTGCTACACTATATCCCTTTTTCTTTTGCTACACTATATCCCTTTTTCTTCTACCCTTTACAATGATTCCATTATGCTGACAAACAAGTATGTTAAAAAATGTTTAAACAAAAAATAATTGCATGTTACTTCATTTGTTGGACACATCATGAGGTACTCCTCCAAAAGTGGACATACACAGGCCTGAGGGCTGCACATATAATATCTAACATATTCTTCCATCTATGCACAAGCAAAGCACATGGGTTTAATATCCTGCTCAGCTATAGTATTGCCAGCTGCAAATGACCCAGACATTGGCTGCATCTCACTGAATGCATCACTGTTCAGCTAAAAAATTTCTGTCTGGCTACTTTGATGCTTCAGTTGAAGGCTGCTGGGCTTGAGGGTATAGACAGGGCCACTTGGAGCAAATTTCAGCTAGTTCTTGATGAACCGGCCACAATTCACTCTATGTATGGGCCAGCTTGACAGATGTAGAGTATTGATCTTTTTTTTTTTTTTTTTTTTGTTATGGTTAAATCACATCCTTCCTCTTCCCTATATTGGACTTTGAAACCCAAAAACACACACGCACTTCCTTTTGTAAACTTCTAGTCCCCCACCCCCTGGAGTTGAAGAAAGGAGGACATATTTGAAGTCCAGCCTGGGTGCCATACAGTAGAGAAGTGAAGGTAGCAGCTCAGGGACAAGAAGTGTGCTAATTGCAGGTTTATCAAGGAAAAAGGCATGCGATGTGAACACTAATGCAGCCACCTCCTCTAATGACTGCAGTATAGTAAGAGCAGGTACATCCTGTATTTGTTGGGAACTTTAGGCTTGGTTCGCACCTATGTAGTTTGCTTTTGATCCATTTCTGCGCAGCATTTTGTGTTTTCACGTGTTTTATTGATGCATTTTGAAGGTTTTTTTTGGCCAATTTGTTGTTGGACAGATTAAAAACCGCAAAAAGTGTAAAAAATGCACTACATGCTTTTCTGCAGTGTCTCTATTGAAGTTTATGAAACTAAAAACACACCATTTTGCATTTTAAATCACTGGCCAGTTCCAAAAACACAGCAGCTGCATAAAGCAGAAATATGTACGTGTCCCATAGGAAACCATGTTAAATGGACAGTAGCATTTCTGAAAAAGCACCAAAAAATGCATTGGTGTGAACCAGGCCTTATAGAAGCTCTAAGTGGTAC